GAACCTCGGGATGAAGCCATGCAAATGATAAGCATACCAAGAAAGTTTTCATTTTTTTAAAGAGATTTTTGAGTTGAGTTCTATTAACTGTCAGGGAGATTATTCTGAAACCCTTTCTCGAGTTTAGGTTAACCACAGAAAGTCGTATTCATGTTCAAACTCAGCTGTGCCTTGTCACATGCAATTTTCCGCAGCTAATTCATTCGGTTATCCCCTGCGTGTTGCCAGATGTAACTGGTAATGGGGGAAAAAAGGAAAGAGTGGGCTCGGGAGCACAAAAACAAAGATATAATAAAAAGCATAATAACGAATATGAGAATGCGAAAAGAGCCCCAAGAACAGACGGGTGACATTAGCATACAGAAAATGACAATGGAGGGTGAATTCAGCACAAGAGGGAAAGGAAATATCTAGAGGGGAAAGGGGGTGAGGTAAGGGGCCAAGGCAGTTTCAAATGCCATGGGTTAGTTCGCCTCGCATTACGTATACGCAGCGTGCACACAAAAAATTACGAATAGTCACGTAGCGAAAGTAAATTCAACCCTCCTCATTTCCAGCGTTAGTCAGTGTGTATATTCCCGAATAAGCAGTGTGTTGTGCGGTGTGTGGCGACGCTTGTCAGCCATTTTAATAATTGTTGGGGCCATTCACTGGTACTAAACTCCCCCTCATTTGCCCCTGGTCAGCTAGAATGTCACTTCGGGCTGTGGTAACGCAAAAAAACTCAGCCCTGGCCATAAACTTTCCACTCGTCGAGATGTATGAATACCGGAGTGAAGTGAATATCAGAACTCAACAGTTGCGAATGCAAATTGTTCGCAGGGCTCACATATTTGCTTTTAATTATCATGTCGTGCATATTTCGTGCACAAGAATGGCAAATGTTCTCGAACATAAATGACTCCCTAAGTTAGCTTTCGCAGCAATTGGCTAAAAACCTTTTTGTGAAGCCAAAAAATATTTAATTTAAATACAAGCCAGGAAGTAAAATTCCTTTTTTGTACAAATAAATAAAAGTTTTTATGGTTTTGCAAAAACGGGGACACTGAGAATGATTATCGGTCTGTTTGTTTGCGCCAGTTTTTATGTCCAACTCTGGAAAATAGCAAAACAATTTCGTTTACCCTCTGTTGTCTGACCCACTCCACTTGGATACTCAAACAGGCGACGCTGAAAACTACCCAAAGCCTCGGGGAAATCTCTAGGCAGCTAGGAAAATGTGGGATTTAAAGGCTGACCGGCTGAAATATGGTCTGAATTGCAGAGGGAAATATGTTTTATTTATAACTTTAAATATTTTCACAGATATTTACAGATATATTTCCTTCTGCAGATCAGAACTTATTTTTGTTATAAGGTTTTTATTGAGGGAAAAATAAACACTTTGAATATTAAAAGGACCATCAGCGATCGAAATGTTTTCCAAGGACAAAATTCACTTTTTTTGTATAATCACTTTCCTTTGCTTTAAAATATAAAATAATCCTTATAATACATTTTATTAAGAATCGAGTAAAAAGTATTAATAATAAATATAAGTGAGACTTGAGCGGAAACCACCTGCACCAAACCTTTTTCGCTATTCGTTGTTTTGTATTTGTATTTTTTCTTTTTATGACTGTCAGTTTCCTAGTGGAAAAACTTCTGTTCTAGTTTTATACATGGCGGATTTTCTTTATTTTCCTACGTGGGTTAAAAAAATGGGGGTTTCTGTTTATCCGCCAAGTCAACTTTTATGACAATGCGAAACATGTGATAATTCCAATGTGTCCCAAAAGAACTTGTTTAGTTATGGTATATGTTACTTATTTTCACAAGGGGCTATACAACAAATTAGACAAAATTTTTCCTTAGCCAAACAAAACTTTTGTTTTGTGACAATTCAATTACAAAATTTTTCCATTTGAAATAAAAGTTCAAAAGTGTTTTTTTTTTTTGTTTGAAATTTCTCATATCCCAGTCAAACTTTAATGATTGCTAAATGTGTTTTCAATAAAATGTGAAATAAAGTACAGCATCAGACCATTAGTTCAATTGGAAACGTTTTAATCAATTAAGTCGTTATTGAAATTAGGAATTTGGGATTAAAAAATATCTTTTATCTCTGCAAAGTCAAAATTAAAGTCAAATTATAGTTTAATTTCTTGTGGCTTTTCAATGAAACCAAACCAACCTAAGTCATGAATATGCGTGGGTAAATTAAAAGCTTACAGGAAATTTGTGAAAATTTAGCATGAGCCCTTAAGTAGGTGTTTAAGTGCCCAGGGGGAAACCCAACGCCGAAAGTTGAAGCTAATGTTTAAGCCTGATGTGTGGCTGTTAAGACAAAGTTTGTATCCTGTCACCTGTGGGATTTTTTAAGGGTTACGGAAGGGAGGGAATGCGGGTTGCTCCGGGCATCATTTTCATTGTGCAAATATTTAAGCATTGCGGAAATCCCTGACACACACTTTCCGTCAGCTTATCTAAAAGGTGTTTTTGAGTTCTGAATCTTCCTGGGGTGAGCTGGCTCATCTTATTATGTTAATCGCCTCACGTGCAAGCAAAGTGCTCAAGGAATTAAGGGGTGGATGTATGAACAACTGTGTTTTATATTATGAACATAGCACACGTGAGTTAAAAAAACACTAAAGTTATACTTTTACTCACGCGAACAGTTTACGAGGACGTTGAGAACCCAAAGGCGCAGTGCGCCAATAATTTCTCTTTATTATTTTAAGAATCGGTTGAGCAGCGAATGGGGGAAATCAGAGGAAACAAAAAGATATATATGTCAGCGGGCATTATGCTTCACGGTATTCTCGTTGCGGCACACTTGGCCTCGTCCGCAGAAAATGGCAGACGACAGGGAATAAATGTTGGTTGCAGACTGGCAGGGATTACTCATCAAACCAAGTGCAGTCGGTCCAACGTGGCGGAAACCGCAGAGAAAGCCACTAGAGACCTGCATTTAATTTTCTTTATTTTTAATTTCCCCAAAAGAACGTTTCCTTTTATCTCCATCCAGCTTACTGCCGCAAAATTATGTTCTTTCTTTTTTTAAAGGCACTTTAGTTTGAGTAATAATCCATAATTAATTCTTTCCTTTTAAAGTTTATGCTTGTGAAGGAGAAGAAAGCTTTGTGTTATGTATCCAATATTGTTTTGCCTTTCATAAATCGATTTTAATTTCTCATGGCAAACAGCTGTCACTCATTTCCCTTTTTATATCACCAGTCTTCATAAATAATTCCAGACAGTAACAATTTAATTGAGAATTAACGACACATATTTGCCAGATGTCGTCTGTCGTAAATAAACTGTATATTAAGTCAAGAAGTTAAGAAGAAATAATCACTTTTGCTTAAAAAGAGAGTAACATTATAAGATTCCTTAAACGCTGAGTCAGATGTTAAATATTTCTCTACCGAAATAAATGTTTAGAGCAGAACGATTTCAGTTAATGAACATCTACTAAAAGGGTAAACAATCTGAGAGATATTGAAAGCTAAACAAACCACTTGAAGTAAACAAAAAGTATCCACAATCGAACCAGTGGCAAGCCAATTAAAAGTAAAATCGAATTGCTTTCTTTGTTTTGGCAATATGATTCACCACAAAAACATACACATAAGAGCAAAATCGAAAAGTACATTTTGCGATTGCTTTTCAAATTTATTTACTTTATTTGAGATAATATTAACTTCTGTATTTTCTTAATTTTTACAGTCTTTTTAAAACATTAGTAAATTGAAAAAAGTTCAAAAGAATTCGAGACACTTTTGGGGAAGGAAAATTGCCGTGAAAAGTTAAAGTTCCAAACAGAAGCCAATATGGTCAGAGGCTAAAAATACATATAAAATGCACCAGGAGACATAAACCAACAAAAACGAGAGCAGCAACAATTTGCCAACTTTTGTAATTGGCTAGAGACAAGAGGGAGAGAGACAGATGCCGAGACGCAAAAAGAGAAGGAGACAGTGGGGCAAAGTCAGACAGACAAGTTTAAATGAAAAATTCTAGCAGTTTCTGTTCTTATTTTGGGTGCACCAGGGAAAAATAAGAAGAAAACACAGAAGCCAGAAGGCAGAAGGCAGCAATCAGGAAAAGGCGACGAGGACAACACGAGCAACTCAAAATGTCCTGCCACATTTTCCTGTGTGCAAGTAAGTTTTTTTGCGGCTTAAAATGCAGATTGTTAGCTTGACCACGTACGAGTTTTATATTTTATGTCTGAGTTGCTGCCCCTAAAACCAAACTCATTATTCATCTCCGGTTGACTAAAATTAATGAGTCTGGTAAACCACTTTACCACTTCACACTAATGTAAACTTTGCAGCAGAGTTATAATTCTTTAAATGCATTTAGCTTTTCGGAATTTATTAACTGTCTTAGAAAACTGGCTTAAATAAAACACTTTAATTTAAAACACTTCAATTTAAGAACGTTATTTATATAAAAAAAGATGGATAGATACCAATCATTTTTTTTTTTTTTGTATAATTAAACTTTCCTTTGCCCTTGTTCTTGTTGTTCTCACCACAACGTAAACAGCAAAAATTTAAAAATAGAGGAGCGAAAACAAAGCAAACACACAACGAATTCCAGGTTAAATAATGCATGGAAAGTCAAATGTAAACAGTGCACTCAATTAGGTTCGAAAATGTAGTTCACAGAATTTGAATCATTTTCCCGTTCTTTAATTCAGGAATATCTGCGATTGTATTAAAATCGAAATGTAGCTTCAATATTAAAATTTAAATATCCAATCCAATATTTAAATATCCAATCAAAAGAAAGAAAAAAAATAATAATTGATTAAATAGAATCTTATTCTAGCCACAGACGCCATTCTACGGGTTAAGTTTGTTTTTAAATTCTTCCCATACTTTGTGCGCAGACTCCGCGATTGTCCGACTTATTCGGCAGAGCAGTCGGCGTCGCCGCCTCTGCCGATGCCTCAGTCGACGCCGCAGTCAGCACTCCGTCCGATAAAAATTTCAGTTCTCATGCGGCTTTCCTCAGAACCGCAACGATACGGATCGGAACGGAATAAAACTATACGAAAATATTTCAAACTACGAAACGTACTTAGAAGCGGCACGTGGGTGGCATTGCAAATAACAATATTCGAGTGCTAAAAAAATAAATACAAATAAAGTACAATTTAATGGTATGAGTTACAAAAAAAAACCTTGTTTTTTTATTAATTCCTTATCGAATTATTAGTGTATTTTATTTAATTTTGATAAACGAAACTTGTGACAAAGTAACGTCAATTATCTTGACACTTTAAAATGTAAATTACAAATTTAAAATCAATTCCATTCGTCCTAAAAAAAAGCAAGGTTCTAGTTTCTAATGAAAATGATTTTATAAATGTTCATATAAGTTATTAAAAACGAAAAACAAGTTAAATGAGATGCTTGTTGGAAAAATAAGTCAAGTTGCTGCTCTCCAATTAAAATCCAGAATTTTATTCGTGCATTTCCGTTTCAAGCAGCTTTACGTGATTTAATAGCAGAGTGGATCTGTACGAAATAAACCAGCTGGCGTACAAAATTGAAGCATGCCCATCAATTATTTGATTTAATCACCATAAACGAAAGATTAAAGTGAGTATTAATGTGCACCAGGCTAAGATGGTTGGAATTGTGCCAAAAATATCTGAAGCACACTCTGAAATATCTCATAAAACAAGTAATTAAATAATACAGATTGAGATTTGGAACGTGCCTTGAATTAAATAATTATGTTAGGCTTGTCTATTATTGACCACAAAGGAAAAATGTTTTTGGTACTCTCACAATTATATTCTTTTTACCAGAAAAGTTGTTGTCTTCTAATAAAAGATTTTTTTGTGATTGTCTGTAATTTCTTATTCAAACTTTTCCCCATTTTAATTAACTTAATTAGCATTATTTGTATACAGTCAATAGGCTAGCTTTCTTTTTTTCCCGATAGCATATATAACTATGTGAAAATGAATTACCAATGTTTGATCAGGTTTTGTTTACTTTTCACACTGCAGTCCATGTTAAAAATAAGTAAAGTGCATGAGCGTACACGAGGAAAAGAAATAATGCGGTAATAAACAATAAAAATAAAACAATAAAAGAAACCGAAAGACTCAACAAAATTGCGTGGGAAAGCAGGCAACATTATCGTACCAGTGAAAAAAAGTGGGACAAAAAGGTAGTCGCATAAATGGCGAAATAACGAGGGCAAAGGCGACAATAAGCGGGATGGGATGAAAAAGGAAATCCAGGCGCGCACTGAGAAAAAAACTGATTACGTTAAAATGTTAATGTCTTAAAACCATTATGGAATTCAAAACAAAAATGCTACTGGGATTTCTAAGCAGTTTCCTCAACTCTTTAAGTTGTTTTGTTATAATTATTATTTTTAACTATTATTTGAAGATCAGTGTATGGAACCTGAAGGGGCACCAAAGCCCGGCAAATGTCGTGCGTTAGTGTGGCAGCAGGGCCATTTAGTTGGGACCAGCGTCGCATTACGTATACGCAATGTGCACGAAAATTACCGGCAGTCACGTAGCAAAGCAAATTCCAACTCCACACTTTTACTACACACGAGTGAGTGCACGTGTGCTTGTGGGTGTGTGGTGTATGGTGTGCGGTGTGTCTGGGTGTGCGTGAGGCTTATCAACCATCATAATAATTGTTCGGGGCAATTTTGCTGCCAAGACTGGCCAAGGTCCCTTCGAGTCCATTCCGACATTCGACAGGAATAATTACACACACATTTGGCTGTCATAAAAACCAAATTTGTTGAAATGTCCAACTGAAATGACGGCACAAAACATACAGAACATTTTGTGTATTTGGATCTGTCCAACCGCCAAATTCGTTTGTTTTTGGCTGTCAGTTTTTAGTTCAGCTTTGAAAACAAGGAAAGTTTGCCTCTTTATTTAGATTTTATTTTGCATGCTGTTGAAAATGGCATTGATGTTGCACGTGTTAAAGCACAAAAACAATATTTGCTAAAAAAGGAGGTGTTTAATGACAGTTGAAACGAATGACATTTTTCCGATCAACGAACATCGGCCAGTGACAGAAATTCATTAGTAAAATGCTGGCATTAACATTCAATCAAATCAATGTTACTACAAAGAGAATCAAATAAGTATTATTTTTATAAATTATAAATCCATTAACGTCATCACTGGTTTATTTATTTGCTCCCATAATTTCGGGAAAATAAATCAATGTTGCTTACTTTTTTGATTGTTGAGAGGCAAAAAAAGACAAACTGTATGTAAATACTTGTTGAAAAGGAAATAAATCTCAGAGCCCGTTTAAAACAGTTTCGGATTGTTTCGACTTGAACTTTAGGTTTACTTAATCTAATCAAAAGCTGGATCTCCACGTTCAAAATTTTGTTGTCTTGTCATGTGAAAACCCATGTTTAAAAAGGCCGACGGCTGAGCAGAAAACTTGTTTGCATATTCCAGGAAAAAAATCTCATGCATATAATTTTGTTTTGTTATATTTCATTTTGCAACTCAATTGAAGTTTTTATCCGCCCCGTAATAAAATTTGAATTTCAAAAAGACTGCATTTTCAGTCTTTGTTTCTCTCTTTTTCGTATTTAATTCCGTCTCGCTCTTTTTCTCTGTGTACAGAAAGTAAATAGGAATTTCGTGCTTGGCTACGAAAATTTATGGCTATTGGTTTCACACAAAACATACATTTGACTCTGAAGTCGACGGCTTATGTTGTCCTTGGGAACACGCGACGTATGCGCAACAAACACGCTTTTTCTTTGATGAAAGTGTTTTTGTACAAATTATATTCGGGGAAAAGATGGAATTAGCAAGGGAAAAGGTACACACGGTAATGACTTTTGCCGAAACGCTTTTAAGCTACCTTATTACTACGAATGGAATATGCAATACAATTTTGCTTGGACCATGGCTTAAGCAAACATTTTTAAATATTTGAATAAAGATGGAAACTATTATTTTGTACTGGCTTTTTGTTCTTTTCAACTGTGAGTATCTCAAATATTAAAATGTTTTCTGACAACAGCTATTTTTGTATCCCGCATGGAAGCTTAAGAAAGCAAAGCAAAAGCAGGCCAAACATTTTCACATTTTATACTCGGACTTGGCTATTTTCTCCACAATTACCTTTCCTGGGTTTCCTTCCAGCTGGTACAACAATCACGAAACCTAATAAAAGTCCCAGTCTGCCTCACACAATTACAACTATTACACTGGATAATGCTCGAGGTACGCTTTATTGCCTGCTAAAGGGACAATTTCTGACCAACAGGAAAGCAGTCCGAGTTACAGAAGCAAACTAGTTGGTATACATTTTTAACGAAAGAGTTTTGTTTGCAAAGTTGTTTGAATTGCTTTAAGGAAACATTTCATGAAAGGCGAAACACGTTTTCACTTACACTTTCTTATGAACAGAAACTAAATAAAGTTGTTCCTTCTCTTGTAATTTATTATCTTCTTGCTCAGCTAGAATCTTTGTTTTCTCATTAGAGCGTTGTATAAACGGACATCAGCAATTGGACCGATACCATCTGGCGCATTGCCATTATTAATGATGCAATTGGCAGGGTGAGGAAATTGTTGCAGTTTTTTCTGCGAAATTCTGTATATTTTCTGCTCCGATCGTTACCATGTATCGTAAACCTAAAATTGAGATTGCCAGGGATTCATCTTTTGTCTTACTTCGTTTCCTTTATTTTCCTTCCTTTGTCTGTTTTCGTCTGCTGTTGTTTTTTGTATTCAGCTTTAGCAGTGCTTTCTAAAAAACGTTTCAATTCTCTTCTTTGCGACTTTCAATTCACTAACGAGTTGTTTGAAGTGGTCTCAAAGAATGTTTTATTCTAGCAGACAAACAAGTTGTTTCTGTAGGTATTTTTATTTTGAATGCATGTGGAATTACATTTTCATTTGCTACTAGACTTATTCTCTCTGTGATAAAATCAGTCAGAGGCATGAAATTCCTGGAAATTCAGTGAGTGACCTGCAGCCGATAAAGCTCTCGTCTGCAAATCCTCGATTTCGCCAGCTTTTGGCCCCAAGCAAACATCACGTATACGCCTCTGTGTTTTCCCATTGCTCTTTTTGGCCAACTCGCCCTGCCGATGCGCCACTTTCCGCGTAATTGTGCGTGCCAGCGACAACAAAGAGTCGAAGAGCAGACAGGACCCTCTGCCCTCCGGAAACCCCTTCTCTTGGCCTGTCTAGCACCCACACCCGGGCAGGGTAAATTGGCCAACAGCGTGGGCGAAAGGACCTTTAACAGGACACTGGTAATTGAATATTGAGAATGTGGTATAAGCTTTCCGATTGCAAGCTGGGGCTTCTCGTCGTCGACCCAGTTTCCTTGTAATGCTATCGATTTTCACCCAATCAATGGCTACAAGTGCGACCCAATCGACAATTTCAGACCCTTTTATTCACCGTCTGATCCTTTCAGTGTTTGTTTGACTGCCAATGATAGCTTCTTAGAAGGAATAATCACGTTTGTATTTCATTCAATCAGTTTGTAGCTTCAGATGGTAAACTCTTTTCTTGTTAACTTTAACTTGGTATGAATTTTAGTTCGTAGCTAAAAGGATACCCAGATTTACAAATTTCTTAAAAAGTGATGTATAACTATTTCACTTGGTGACAAGCTCATTTCCTGTCATCCATAAAATGGGAAGAAAAAACATTGTCTTAAGTTGCGAAAATTAACGTCACACTGAACACGGTTGTCCGTCATTTAAATAAAGTATTTGACATTCATTTTCTTTCGCTGTGGATGGTAACGAACTCATTTGCGTGTGGGCAGTGGAAGTGGCTCATTAGGGATGAAAAATTGTTGACAAATGAAGAGTTTACAGGAAAATCAAGTGCCAAGCCAGAAGCGTTCGGCAAATAAGTGCCAAGGTTCGTCCTCTGGCGAGCATTATGCTAATGAACTGGCAGGTAAACAGCAGCGGAAGCTTTCACTTGCCGGTGGACTGTGCAATTTAACATCCTTTTGGGGCCACTTTCCAGCATTGTGCGTCTTTAAGTTAGCCAAAATTCCATTAGACAAGGAGTACTATAGCCAACCTGCCCGGAAAGAAGCGAAATGAAATATAGCTTCTGCCTTTCAGCTTTCTGCTTCGCAAATTGGATGTCAAGAAAGGTTTTAGGAGGGAAAGAGAACAACAGGAAGTTGATTTACAAATTTGCACTGTGCAGATTGCTTCCGTTTCGGGAGGATATGATTTGTGTTTCAGTAGAACGTCTCGTTGCTTAATGGATTCCGCGTTTTGCATGTTTTCTTTCACTTTGTTAAAATTAAAAGCTAAGACATAAGCTATTTCTCCTGATTGAAAAGGTTTTCTGACCTTTGTCAAATCTGTTGAAAAACAAACTTCGTTGATTTCTGATTCTAATCAAACTTTTTACCAGCATTAAAAATTTTAAATAGAAAATCTTGGTTTTTGCTATGTCTGGCAACTTTTCCATAATTTACCTTGTCTGTCGCAGGCTTTTGCTCCCAATTGACGAAAGGTGCACAATCAGCCGAAATGACTTTTGGGAAAAATGAGCGGGGCAAAATGAGCTGAAGTGACCACTCCGCAAAGATTTATGCCA